TTGAGCACGTGCGCGAGAATCGTTTCAAGAGGCTTTAAACTTTAAACTTTTCTAAACGATCAAGAAGAAGAGAGAGACCTTTATATAACTTGGTCCGAGAGTTCTAATAAAAGTATATATATATATGTATGTATATGGGAAAATGAGAAAGACGTATATATATATACTTTTGAAAAGACACTCAACTTGACTCAGCAGAAAACTTAGGAGAGAAGAACTTAACGGTAGCGGAGAAAATTGCTTATACGCGAACAAGATCGTCAAAGTTAACAGTTAGTAAAACCGCTTTCGCCAGAATCAAGAGCGTCTGCTACTTTTTCTCTGTTCTTTATATTCTTCACTCGTTTATATATATATATATAAAGTCATTCTTATATTTACTGACGCCATGATTTCCAAGTTACAAACTACATATATATATATAAAGAAACATCCTATAAAAGAACGGTTTGTTTAGAAAAAAAAAGAAAAATGTGGTCCAAAGCGAAATCGTGTGAAACTCTCGGAAATAAGACGTAGAATTATTGCCAATTTTCCAGTCAGTGATTTTTTTCAAATACTCTTTTCAAATTCTTTCGCGAAATTATAATTCTTGCAATTTTCTTATATGAAAGCGAGTGAGGACAGAAAGAGAAAGAAGATTTTTTTGTTTTTGTATTAAAAAGAAAGTAAAATTACTATATATTTATAATAGTTACCATATAGCAAATTTGGTTACTAGAAAAATGGAAAAATGAATAAAGTATACCCAAGCAGCACCCGGTATATCCCCTGAATATCCCTTGAATACCACTGTGGAATATTCCCACTCTCTATAAATTTGAATCAGCGATAAGTATACACGGAGAAAAAAGATTTCTTTTATAAAGTAACTTTTACTATACTTTCAGAGTAAAACTGGACCAACTCGAAGTTTCTGCGCATCTCTGGCAATTTTTACTCCAAAAATAGTAAAATTTACTCTAGAAATAGTAAAACTTACTACGGAAACAGTAAAATTTACTACAGAAATAATAAATTTTACTATTTTTGGAGTAAAAATTGACAGAGATGCGCAGAAACTTCGAGTTGGTCCAGTTTTACTCTGAAAGTAGTAAAAATTACTTTTTCTTTTTCTTCGTGTACCACTGTTACCAATTAGCGTATATACATACGCTGAAAAATCAGTGAATTTTCACTAATTTAACCGTTGCATATACTGAATATTCCCTCAATATTACTGGAATATTTCCACATTATCATACCTGAATATCCCCTTAATGTCACTGAAATATTCCAATATGAATGTCACCGAGGAATATTCCCTCAATGTCACTGGAATATACCCTGAATGTCACTATGGAATATTCCCATGATGCGGACATTTTGATTTTCCTAGAAGATCATGAGAATATTCCACTGTGCGGTATTCAACGGATATTCAGGGAATATACCGTGCTGCTTGGGTATAACTTTTACTATATATTACTTTAATAAAAGTAAAACCGAAACTGTCCGCAGTTTCTGCCAATTTTCATTCCAGAAATAGTAAAATTTACTCCTAAACTAGTAAAAATTATTCGGAAAATAGTAAAATTTTACTATTTCTCGAGTAAAAATTGCCAAAAATTCGAAGAAACTGCGGACAGTTGCAATTTTACTTTTATAAAGTATAGTAAAAGTTACTTTATTCGTTTTTCCATTTTTCTCCCTGTAATTGAAGTTATTCACAATGGTATAGTTATCATTAATATTAGTTACCAGTAACTCTCGTATAATAATGGTAGTTACGTTACCAGTAGTATGTATAATAATTTCAATGTAATGTAAATCGTGAACAATCATATCGATGATTAAGAATTGAATTATTACTATTATTATATTGGCATAGAGAAAGAGAGTCTTTACAAGCTTCGTGAGCTTTCACAAATATATATATAATAAATGTGAACCATTATTGTAACGAGAAGGCACTAATATTTGTATATTCGAATGTCCGCGTGCATGTATATAATAAATCTTAAATGGGAAAATGTCCTCTATTGTGTTCTTGAATCAAGAGAGACCAGTAAGTCTCAGAAAATCGATTATAGAACCGAGCTCGCGTTATTCTTGTATTTATATGTCGATCGCAATATTCCTTTTTTTATGATTCATCGGTAACTCCACACGAATATATATATACTTAGTCATATGGTTTCGCCGATAAGGTCTCTCACGTGATATTAAAAAAAAATAATCTATATTTCAAACATTTTTTTACCCTTTTAGGTACAATTACTTTCACCTGATATATATATATATATATACTGATAAAGTTATCGATTTTTCTCTTCATTTCATTTTAATCAATGAACATGTGTTGCGAAAATAGGGTTTTATTAATTAATTGAATCGAATTTTTCGGGGTGTTTTTTTTTTCTTCAAATTACCAATAATGGCGAATAATGGTTTGTTAAAAATTATAGTGAATACTATCTTAAATTAGTACATAATCAGAATAATTTAAATAAGAATTTATTAATAATTGAAAAGCGAAGTAAATTACGAAACAATTTTTAACAATGATAAATTTATAATATAGACAACTTTGTGTATATATATTTATCTATTAATAGCAACTCAAAAGAACCAAGTACTAATTACGTATACAGTATAAATAATACACTGTCTATATAGAAGGTGGAAATTAATTAATTCTCAATCGAATAAAAAAGGAAATATAAAAATAATTTTTTGATTAGATAAACAAAAAACTATGTAACACAGCTCTCTCACACACTATATATTTTATCAAACCTTAGACGAGCGATCATGTTCGATTAGAGTAATTATGATCCATGAAATATGTCTTGATCAACCATATGAAATATATGCATATATATATATTTATTATATCGGATTACATTACACGCTTCGAATATTTATATATAGTATACATAAACAACACGTGCAGTTAAAAAGCAATTCTTTTAACATTGAACACGCAAGGAAAAAAAAAATTTTTACTATAGAATCATTGTCAATTTTAAAATTATTATATATAAAAAATATGTATATTTAATATTTATTATCTTGTATCGAAGCTGCGTAAAAAAGAGTAAATTCTATTTAAATTTTTCGGTTTTTTTTTTCTAATACAATGTATATATATATATAATACATTAAAGTTTTCATAATAACGTTTTAGCAACATTAAAATTTTATAGTTAGAAATTTTTCTTCAACTGTAAATTTATATATAGAAAATATCAGGAAACAGTAAATAAAATTTCAATAATACTAAAAATAATAACACTTGAATGATAATAAAAATAGAAAAATATTATTATTAATGTTATATTAATATTAATAATATTATATCAAATACAATATAATAATAATAATAATAATAATAATAATAATAATAATAATAATAATAATAATAATAATAATAGAAAACAATAGGACCTAATAATAATACTTAAAAATAAAATTATCTGAATCTATATATTGTCTATTTTAAAAATAGGCTATTTTTAATTTTATCGCACGAAAATTATAAAAAGATTAAGGTGTAGAATTCTTTTTTTAAATTAAGAATGATGATATGGATAATAATTTGACAGTTGTAAATAGAAAAATATTTGAACTCAAGGACACTATTTAATTCTATTTTATCAACAGTATAAGATGAATCTGCTTTCCCCTTACTGTATGTTTTTTTTTCTTTTTTTTTTTTTTAGAGTGTAATATAGTTTGACACATATTTAATCAAAATTTAAGGGCTGTAGTATAAAATTGTAGAGAAATGAATTTTTTTATTTTAAATATACACAATATATAGTTAAAAACTTACTATATATATTTTTGTTTGAAAAAAGTGTTTTCGTTAGTCGAAAAAAAAATTATCTCCATTCATTGATAATATATATATAGTAGAAATTAAGCAATCGCGACGCAATAGCCGATTGATAATAATATATTATACATTATATGTGTGACGAGTTCGAAATTTAAATTGTGGCACACTACTACCAATTATTACTGTTATAAATATTAAATTTTATAAAAGTATAAGTTAAAAATAATTATTATAATTAATTCTATTTATAATTAAAATTGAATTATTATAATATTAATTGATATTATTATTTATCGAATTAACTGATATTTAAAACTGTCAACAATAGTAGAAATTAGGAATAATTAAAAATAATATAAGAAATAACAATCACTAATAACAGACAAAAATCACCTTCGGAAAGGATCGAACTCTAGATTTATTGTTGAGAGTCGAGAACGCTGACCACTAGGCTACACACAACATTATAACACGGAAAGAAAGAAAAAATAATTTTTACTACTTACGGAGTAAAACGGAAACTGTCCGAAGTTTCTGCGCATCTCTGGCAAACTTTTACTCCAAAAATAGTTAAATTTACTTTAGAAATAGTAAAAATTATTATGAAAACAGTGAAATTTACTACAAAAATAGTCAATTTTACTATTTTTGAAGTAAAAGTTGCTAGAGATGCACAGAAACTTCGGACAGTTTCCATTTTACTCTGAAAGTAGTAAAAATTACCTTTTCTTTTCTTCCGTGAATCATTATAATAACTTTTTAAAATCTTCCACTTCTATTAATCTAAACTTTGAGTAATGAGAACAATTGTTTGAAGACCATTATTTAAATAACCATTATTTGAAACTATATACAAACAAAAACGACCCTCGTATCGCATTTTCTAAATTTGAAAACTAAATTTCCATCTTTTTTTTTTTAAATTTTTTTTTTCAAATCACAAAAAGAAAAACAAATATTCCATTCTGTTTGCTCGTGTATTTAGAATTTCAAATACAATTTTTTATCCCAAGCTTTGTTTGACGAAACTTTTAGAATTTGTGGTCATGCTTTTCTTTCTTTCTCTCTCCCTCTCCTATATGTTTATGACAGGTTTTTCAAGGGAAAGTGAAACTCAGCAGGTCAAAAATTTAGTTGACACACTGCAATGCATCTGGCACAGGTTTTTCATTCTTACCTGACTAACAAGTTTCGGCAGAGTGTGAGAATGTGTTGATCTATCTGTGTTGCTTCTCTGTTGACTAGCTTCCGACCTCAAGTCTTGCCTCCATCTCAATACACCCATCATGATCGCCTTTTGTATTACACTTTTCCAAATTCACACAAAAAAAAAAATATATATATTCACAATTTTCTTGATTAAAAAAAAAATGTCACAATTATTTATATTGTTTGTTTTCAATAAAGAAAATTTGATAGAATAATTTTGACAAAGTTATAACTGGCGACGATGAGTCTATAAACGCCGAAAGAGTAAAACCGCTTGAAACGTAAATAAACTCTTAACTCTCCAATCCCCCTAATTCCTCTGCTTCTTCTTCTTCTTCTTCTTCTTCTTCTTCTTCTTCTAATTCTTGTGGCTTGCGTCACGAATTGCGAATACTTTCAGTAAACTTAGAAACACTTTTTTTTTTTATTATTATTCTCCAATTTCAAAAAAACGTCACTCATTCCAAAGAAAACTTCCTCACTACTTTTTTTTTGAGGGGGGGGCTATTTTTTTTCACAATTCCTCTCAAAAGAGAGGAGAATTTTTCCTCGGTAATATATATATTTGTTAATATTTGCACTTCATCAAAAAAAAAAATAATAATAATAATACTATATCACTGAGAAGAAAACAGTTATCTCGCGTCCCGGCATCGATTGTGGATTCGTAGCACGTGACAGTTTCTTGCTGCGCGGTTTTAAATTCCGAGCAGCTGTCATTCTTGCCGGTTATTTTTTTTTTTTAATTAGGAGAAATTCTCTCTCTCTCAAAAAAAAAAAAGTTCAACTCATAGATTTAAGTTTATGAGAGAGGACAAACACCCACGCGCGAATTTTGATCGCGCGAGTGGCGAAACCCCCTCGAGGTCAGAATAGAAAGTGTGTTTAAATCGTGGGCGCAGAACCCGTTGGTCCAAAGAAAGATATTGTTAATAATAATAATAATAATGCACCATATACGAATATAAAACTAACACAATAATAATAATATAAAAATCCCACTGAGAGAAGGAGAGAGATGGAGAGAAAAAAAAAGATTTGTTTATAGAGAGAAGGGACGCGCGATCTCACAGGAACGGCAGGAGCGCAACTGGCATCGTAAACGAACTTTAGGCCTCACTTTGCCTTTACCATCCTTCCATGCTCGTGGAATAAACTCCCCCCGATATGTCCCGCACCTTCGTTGGGTTCTACCAACTTTGTCCAGGGACGGAGTTTTGAAAGGCGACTTTCGATTACTTCTTTATATATATATAAATAAACAAATTGTTTTTTCATCACAAAATGGATATAGTAGAAAAAAAACCCTTCAAATTGAATAAATTTTAATTACATTTTTTCTTAATTTAAATACCGCTCTCTTAATTCAAGTGATATAGTCTTAATTTTATCTAAAGTTGGAATATTTTTTATTTACAGGTATATAGCAAGTTGGAAATTCAAAAAGTGAGTCAAAGTACCTTTAATTCATAATGTAAGTCTTAATTTCAGTATTTTAGTGTCTTAAGTCAAAAAAAAATTAAGAAATTAAGTATATATATATACCAGAATTTAAAATCGTGTCAGCTGATTCAATTTACGTAAATTGATAATTTAATAGCAAAACAAAATTATATTATTAAAAAGTAAAACTTAATTAAGTACTAATATCTTAACTTAAGTAACAATGTCTTAAATTAAGAGAGCAAGGCTAAATTTAAGATATTCGTTATTGTAATAAAACAAAAAAAAAAATATTTTATTTTTAATTTAAGTATACTGATATCTTAAATTAAGAAAGTAATTTTTAAATACGGTGTAACTGAAATTAAGAAAATAATTTTTAAAAAAGATACCAGTAACCGAAATTAAGAAAGTTATTTTTAAATTATGTTCTAGTATACCTAAATTTGAAATAGAGAGTTTAAATTCAAGTAAAACTAAAATTTAAATTAATGAAGTCGGTCTTAATTTAAGTTCTAGTTTGCTTAAATTAAGAAAGTATGTCTTAATTTAAGTACGAAACTTAAATTAAGAAAATGTATCTTTATTCAGGTGAATCTTAAATTAAGACAGTGCGATTTTAAATTATATTACATATCTCAAAATAAGATAATAGATCTTAATTTAAACATCCGTATCTTAAATTAAGAAAAGATTAAGAAATTAAATCTTAAATTATGGTATTACTGTCTTAAAATAAGAAATTGAGTAAATTCAGGTACACGGAAAAAAATGGAAAAACAAATAAAGTAATTTTTACTATACTTTAAAAGTAAAACTTGAACTGTCCGCAGTTTCTGCGCATTTCTGAAAATTTTCACTCCAAAAATAGTAAAATTTACTATTTTCGGAATAATTTTTACTATTTAGGAGTAAATTTTACTATTTTCGAAGTAACTTTTGCTATTTTCGGAGTAACTTTTGCTATTTTCGGAGTAACTTTTGCTATTTCTCGAGTAAAAATTGAAAGAAATGCGCAGAAACTGCGGAAAGTCCAGGTTTTATTTTTAAAGTATAGTAAAAGTTACTTTATTCTTTTTTTCATTTTTCTTCGTGTAACATCTTAATTAAGAAATGTAATTCTCAAATTAAAATTAATGTAAATTATCTTAATTTTTAACGGCCATCGAGCTAGTAATTTTTTATATATTCGCGGCTTAAAGTAATAGTACAATTATTGTCTATAGTAGTTACAATAACAATGAGTTATATAATTACACACTGAAATCGTTACGATGATTGTTAAAGTTAATGATAATTTAAAATGAAGTTACAGATAAATTAAATAAAAATAAATTTAAATATTCAAAGACAGTATAATATATAATAAATAAAAAGTGTATAAGGAAGTCAGTTTTTCATATATTCAAAAACATTGCGAGTATATATAAATATGAATAATTATTACTGAAAACAATAATCCTATTTTGCATATATTATCTATATATATTCTTTAGACCAATGTACACGTTTTCCGTCGTGTGTTGCTAAATGAAAAAAAAATAAAAAATTTTTTTTTTTCTTTTTTTTTTACTGAAAAATCGATGTTGCCGTGTGTTTCCACAAATTGTTAGTAAAGTCTTATCTTCCGCTTGTTCAAAGTTCATGAAAATTAAATATTCAACACGAAGAAGAACTATAGCATAAAAATGCCAGTGTTCTATTTTTCTTTTTTTTTTTTTTTATTAAAAATTTAAATTTTTTTCTCCAAGAAAATCTGCCTATTATTTTAATAAATTTTTAAAGTGAAAATAAGCGATAATTTTATTATCATTGTTAATTTTTATAATATAAACTTAACTGTAATTTTTTTTTAATATCTTTAAATTTTCACTGTCTCTCCATTTTTTTTTATGAATGTAAATTAGTGAACAGTATATATATATAAAAATAACAGGTGGGAAAAAAAAGAGGGAAAACGAAGACGAGAGAGAGAGAGAGAGAGATGTTGTTGGAAAGGAAGCACCGACGGATGTCATTTCGTGGTCGACTTATTTCGTTGTTGGTAGATGCGCAACACTGACATCCCGTTCCCTTTGTATTTTGTATATTTCACTTCTCCCATTACATTGGCATACTTCCTGTGTCCCGAAAAACGACACAAAATATAAAAATTCGATATTATAATATTCCCGAAGAATGTGGCTATTTAGAAAAAAAAAAAAAAAATTAGGATGTGGTGTCTACATTACAAAAATTCAGGAAGGACGTGCGGTGTTCATTTTTATATTGAAGTATTATGTATACGTCTCAAATATTAGACAGTGAACCCTCGATAAAAAAATTCCATTTCAAGTTTTAAGAATACAGTAAATCCTCGATAAAAAACGCGATAAGTTTTAGGAATACAGTAAACCTTCGGTAAAAAAAACCTTTTTTTTCCAAAATACAGTAAACCCTCGATGAAAAAAAAATGTTAAGTTTTAGAGCTACAGTAAACCCTCGATAAAAAAAGGCGGTAAGTTTTAGGAATATAAAATAACCTTCGGTAAAAAAAACCTTTTTTCCAGAATACAGTAAACCCTCGATAAAAAACGCGATAAGTTTTAGAGCTACAGTAAACCCTCGATAAAAAACGCGATAAGTTTTAAAGCTACAGTAAACCCTCGATAAAAAACGCGATAAGTTTTAGGAATACAGTAAACCTTCGGTAAAATAAACCTTCTTTTTCCAGAATACAGTAAACCCTCGATGAAAAAAAAATGTTAAATGTTAGAGCTACAGTAAACCCTCGATAAAAAAAGGCGGTAAGTTTTAGAAATACAAAATAACCTTCGGTAAAAGAAAACCTTTTCTTTTCCAGAATACAGTAAACTCTCGATGAAAAAGAAATGTTAAGTTTTAGGGCTACAGTAAACCCTCGATAAAAAACGCGATAAGTTTTAGGAATACAGAAAAACCTTTTCTTTTTCATAATACAGTAAACCCTCGATGTATTAAGTGTTAGTGATAAAAAACGCGTTAAGTTTTTTGAATTCAGTAAATCCTCGATAAAAACAGCTTTGAATTTTAGGAATACAGTAAACTCTCAAAAAGAGTCCTTTTCTAAATATCCGAAATACAATTAGGTCTCTTGCTAAAAAAAAAAACCCATTTACACTCATTAGAAAAAGATACAGTATAACCTCGATAACAAAGCACAAAGAAATTCTACAAAAGAGAAATACAGTGTACTCTCGATAATAGACCACATCTAAATTCTGAATATTCACATATATAGCTAATTTTGGAAAGTATATCTCAAAATTTAAAGCAGATACAGTAAACTCTCGTTAAAAGAATCGCCAATCGTTAGATATAGCTATATACAATACAAGAATAATAATTTTAAAAAAATTAATTTTTAAATATATTTTTTCAATTGAATTTTAATTACTATATATAATAAATATATATTATTTGTGAAAGATTCGCGATCAATTTTATTTGACCTGGTACTCTAGTAATTTGATCATAGAAATTAATTCCAATGGGAGATGAGATCAGTAAGTAGAGTCACGTCAAATCGATATGTCGTGTGATCATCGACGTGTGAACATTGCGAGAAAATTTATGCATATATATTTTAGTGGTAATTTGATTTAAGACTTTATCGCCATATATGCGCGTCAATTTCAAATGCGGAAGCCGTTGACAAGTACTAGTGATAAAAATTGCTTTTTCTGTGTTATTTTACTGTTAAATAATTAATTAATTTAATAATTAATTCAATTAATTTAAAAAATAATTAATTTAATAAATAATTTTAATAAATAAAATTCACGGAATCCTTTTTTTTAAATTTATTTCGGTCTTTTCTTTAGCGAAAGAGAAAAATAAAAATTACTATAAGTTAATTAAAAAATATATATTTATAATTTTGAGCGTTTATCTCTTTCGTGAGGGATTCTCATGGTTGGAATCAGAAATCTTTATGGTGGTTGCGCAAGATTTGAATTTAAATATCATCGTCGACTGCATTAACAAAGCAAAATCCATGGCATGACGCTACAGAGTGGCTACACACCGGGATTTCCGGTCTAAGTGCATCAGTAAATATACTGTCTTAGGTATTCTGTAACGCGGTATATCTATATACCTGTTCCAGTTGCTTTGAACTCCTTACACATTGAAAATAGATCGATTAAAATATCTATTCACCATTTTCACTAAAGTATTTTATAGAAAAAAAATTTTTTTTTTTGTTTTGAATAAGATGAAATTATAATTGTTTTTTTTTTCAAAAATATTTATTGAAATTTATTGTCTAAGAATAAATATCAGCATCTATTTTAGATTCTTTCTAGTAATTTTTACTATTAATAAAAGAATATTTTTAAAGCATGTTTATTTTTTATATTAATTATTAATTTTTTTTTATTAATTTATTATATATTTAAGAATATGTATTCTTAATTTAAGAATAGAATTAATTAAATGACTATTCTAAACGTTAGGATAATATTCTTAAATTCAGAATAAATGAATAAAAAAAACAAATGAAAAAATAAATTGCATTGAAATATTCTAAAACAGAATTTAAATTAAGTAAAAATAAAAAAAGAATTTAATTTAAAAAAATATTTTAATCGAAATTGCAGTGACATCTAGTAGGTAAATTCAGTTAGAATACAGTAAATAGTAGAAATTTCCTTCTATACCGACAGTTGATAACTTAACAGCAAAGTCTCGCTTACCGACAGTAGTTAATACACTTAAAATTTACCCTCAGAGGATAATGCCGCTTTAATGGAATCTACCTTATCAAAGGAAGGTTCAAAAGAAATAATTTACCTACAAAAACGAAAGGGAAAACTATTAGAAAAAATAAAAACTTATCAAAGGCGAATGAAGGCGGGAATAATAAACACGTGGTATTCATATGGATAGGGGAGTTATTTCTCTCTCTCTCTCTTCTTCGTAATAAATGAACCTGATCGAAACGTCAGATGAAGAAAATAAATTCTCTCAACACATAATAGTGTCATCTGCTAAAATGAAATTCACAGCCCT